TTTGTTACAGTGATAATATAGCCTAATAAAGTCAAACTGTCGATTTAAAAATAAAATCGAGTATCGCACTGTGATAAAATTTTTGACAAAAGAGAGGAAGACTCCGGCGGAAATCAAACAACGTTTGGATGCTTTGCACGGGTATTCATCCCCGTCGTACTCCACCATAAAAGAATGGGCGAAACAATTTCGTTTGGGAAGAGAATCTATTGATGATGAACCGCACGCAGGGCGATCATACGAGGCTATTACGGATGAAAACACAAAATTTGTAGAGATGAACGGCTCTGTGGCGCAGTGGCTTAGCAATGAGTTGCTATGCTGGGGGCCGCGGGTTCAAATCCCGCACGGAACAAGTATTTGTATGGCCTACAAATAATCGTTCCGGGTCTGGATGTTTGTCCTTGTAGAATTTGTGTTTGTAAACTGCCTCCACGATACAGGAGAAAATCCTAGTGTGGGGGTATCGTTTTTTTAAAAAGAGAAGAGAAAAGGCAGTATGGGAAGACAGTCGGCTAAGGACTAAAGAATTAGCAGTTAGGACGGAACTTTCAAAAACATTACATTTACATTTTATTTATATCCCACTTTCTAATTTACAATTAATATTACATTTTATTTATATCTCCTCTTTCTCACTTCTCTGAGTTACCATTGCAAGTACGTACGTATTAGTACGTATCAACGAGTTATCATCTCGTGTAAAATAATTAAAATATGTATATAGTAACTAATAAATTAAAAGATAAACGCTCTAGACCTGAGTACCGCTATGTCGATTTTTTGTACCAAATAACTGCTACCGTAATCGCAAGCATACATTTTTTGCCGTGCCATGGGCACGCATCGTAACGCGCGCCAGCTCACCTGTTCCCCGTGTCCTCACCGCACTTGATTGCTCTTCTGAACACAAATCCTGAGCGCGACCTGTTTGCAACGCAACACAACAGTAACAGGCGATTGTTATGCTTCCTTACAACATTAATTGCGAGATGCTATTAAAGAAAAACATCGAGGGAAATTGTCGCGAGGAGTAATTATTTCGTCATGACAATGCTCCGGACTCTGGTCCACACATCGGGTGTTTCCAAGGCTACCATCAAGGAATGCGGTTTCACTGAGCCCGACCATCCATCATGTATGAGATTTGAACAGTCGCTTTTGTATGGATCGTAAATCGTTTGATTGTTTAAAATACTGTTTTAGCTTGCACAAAAAAGAGAAATGGTAGGAAAGATTAGGTTACTTACCTCGGCCGTTGACCCACTGTTTTTTTTAATAGGTTAAGGGTGACAAACGAGCACACAGTCCACCTGATGGTAAGTGGTTGCTGCGGCCTATAGACATCTACAACTATCCTCTTTTGCGAATCTAAATGCAGATGCGTTTTCACCCGTGAGGACTAAGATGGAATGCCTCATTTCCAGTAAAAAGGGCCTCCGGCCACCTGCACTCACCAAGCGAAACGCAGAGGTAAACCTCTACTTCACGCTGGTATTCTGTGAGGTCGTGGTACTACCCCGGTTCGAGCCGGCCCATCCGTGCGACAGCAAAAGCTGCCGCGTGGCGCTACTACTGTGTTTCGATCCTTTTTGAAATAGAAACTTTTTATTCAATATAGATTAGATTATAAATACAATACTTATTGAAAGTCATTCTTTTGTTTAATTACCACTGGTTTGGAAAAAAAACCTCTGTCCTGGGAAGCACAGCAAGAAACCCAGCGGGACTCTTTTTTAAATAACAGCTTACAATCATGTTATACAGTTAACAACACAACAAATTAGAAATAGCTTGGTAGCGATCACCTCATTCCCAGGAGTTATTATCATCATCCATAAATTCCTTAATACTATATAATACTATAATAACCCTTTTTGTACAAACTTAGTATAATAAAGTTTTTGAACTTTGAGCAGGTTTTTAAATGCAAATTATTAACATTGAACCAATTTACTGATTTAGATATAGCATTATTTACTTCGTCATATTTGATCGTGAATTGAATCGTCTTTTTCGTAGCGATTCGAATGTCTATTCAAAATTAATTATTTTAATAATTTATTATAGTTATTAATTAGTGCACGGGTCAGCACTACCTATATGTTTGAAGGTCATCGCTATTGTCTTACCATTGTGATTAAAAACCGGAAAGTGAAACAGTTAACACTTTGGCACTCCACTGTGGTTCAGCATTTGTTTATTAGAATAAAACTGACTCTGAGAACATTTTATTTTTTACGCGGAGCTAGGGTTAAATGAAAAAGCCGGACTCGGCGCTCCAAAAAGCCGGACTTTTGGCCCTAAAAGGCGGACAGTAATTTTTAGCCAAACATACCTTTCTGAGGCCATGCAGCCAAAAAACTCACCAACTCTAACCCCCCAAGAAAAAAACTAAAATACTCCGTTACATACGTTAATTGTTTATTAATCAATCACTGCACAGTTTCAAGTGTATACGTTACTTATTTATTTATTCTGCAAGTGAGGAGTGCAACGCGTTACACTAACAAAAGCCGGAAAGGCCGGACACATAAAAATTTGGACGGACACAACCCGAAAAAGCCAAACATGGCGACCCTACGCGGAGCAGAACGGTAAGTAACTCGCTGACGCAAGACGATTGTCACAGGAACTAGCGCCCTCCCACGTCAAAATAGGAAACTTCATACTTCGATTATCGTGCTTCGGACTTGGTTTTAATGTTCTTCTTTTAAGGTTTGGCCGTGGTGGGAATTAGGAAAGAACAAGGAAAGGAGTTGCAAGCCTTAATACACTATGTAGCCTCGACTGGCCCCTATTATATATCTAATTAATTCTTCAAATTGATATCCGAAAAAAATGTTAACAAAAAAATTAATGCTGTGAATTTCTCGGGTTCGGTCCTCGCTAGCACCAATGAAACTGTTAATTGTAAATTTAAGTGCTAGTTTACCATGTGCTCGGTGGATAAGGAAAACATTGTGAAGAAACCTAATGTTTGAGAAATAAAAAAAAATCGGAAACTTGTATAGATCACTAAAACATTTTGGGGCAGCAAGTCGGACACTTCCTTTCCCTAAAATCACACAATATTTCTTAGGCTTAGGTTTTAGGCGGATATTATAGCTTACTTTTATCGGTTTACGGTGATAAAAAAGCGGATTGTGTTGTTCTTTTAAACACGTGACAAGAAAAAAAAGATAGATATGACCATAACACATGACCAACAGGCGGATAAACCCGTCAAAAGGTTTCCTTTGGAATATTTAAGTATGTAACCCTTAAAAATATACACCTGCTGTTGGTCAAAGTGCTACTTAACGTTGAAGTTGGCTAACGTGTTTTTTTTTTCCTAAAAACTATATCGGCAACATCGCCGGTATGCGGACTGTTGATCAAGTAAGAAACACCCTGAGCGTTGTTTATGGTTATTGCGAAGCAAAAACTCACCAGCACAGGGTAATTATTAGTGAATGGTTTTGTGCAATATAACCTTTACCTTAACCTTTCACCCGCATCACGATCAGTGGTAGTCTCAGCGTCTGGGTTCTTCACGATGTTATGGTACGTAGTAAATTAAATCTTTGAAGTGCTTATAAAAACATTGTTGGTTTCGACGGGCATCGAACTAGGTTTGCTCGCGTATTGTGAAATTTAATTAGCGCCACTTTGAATTAAATCTTTATACTTAAAAATAACTGGATGAAGTGAATCTTAGATTATTAAAATGATGCGATTTCGTATATTATAGGCATATCTGTGCATGTAGAAGAATGTAAACGTAAAAGAAAAAGTATGTTTGGTTAAGCTGCCTTCACAATATTCGAGAAACTTCGTAATGAGACGCATCAAAATATTGTTGGAATTGTGTATTGTATAGTATACTTTTATAGTAGATAATAAATAATAATGTATTTACTGCGTTTCATGTGTTCTTTTTTGATTGAAGGCCTTGTAGCCAATGTCACAATAAAGAAAAAAATCATCTTACGTTATAATTCTTTTACCGCTAGAAATCTACCTTTTGTCTATCTTATCTACCTTATGTTTGTGCACTGAGCTAGCAATATGGCTTTGCATGCAGTAGTCATTATCAATGGATTCAATGTTAATTTATAATACAGAGTTTAGTAGAAAAATCTTTATTTTTATTAATTAAATTCAATTTTAAATAAATATTGCGATCATTTCGTGATCATTCTCTATACATTTAGATTCTGTCATTCCATTCAAACATAACTGATAGTATTCTACAATAATCTAGGGAAATACTGTTACATTAGCCAGCACCGTCACTACATCTATACATACACACATTTCACCGAGAACTCATTCACCGGTTCACAAGCCGTGACGTCTTGTATATTATGTCGTAAGATAATCAAACCAATCGAAATTTTAGGAAAATCATAAGTCAAACTTAGTTAAGCTTAGGTTAGTTCGATTTATTCGTGGCTAAAACAAGCTGTAGCTGGTTGCCAGCAGGTGAAGGTGTCACTGAGGTGGCACAAAGGCCACTCCAAAGCCTCGAACATTTATATAATACAGTAAAAAGGATAGGTATCAAACATTAATCTACGAACTGAACTAAACTGTCTTAGATTCTAAATATTCGATCCTTTGCAAACTTCCTAACAATTTTGCAAAGATTCTATTGTCTCATTACCTTATGACATATACATATTATAGTAATATGTAAAAATTGCGCCTGTTAAAAGGTTACTTTATGTCCACCGATATATTTAAATTATCCACAAATAAACCATTATTAGAGAATGTAAGTTTCTACATTATTTATTTTTAATATAACAATCAATAGTGACTATAACAATATTATAAAGCTTTAAGTTTTAGTAACGCGGTGTCCCACCATGCCCTGCCATGCCAACAACAAGTACTGCGCACAGATAAATTAAGTTTGTTGACACGCACTTTGAAACTGAAGCATTAACGAAACTTCCGTCAGTTACTTCCCGTCCCCCACGCATCCGTCACAAGCACACCTCTGATTACATTCGTTATAACTTAGGCACATTCAATACCAAACCCTCTTCTTTCGTCACACTCTGCACATTGACCGTGGACCTGTTGTGTCGCATGTGAGACTTCACTAGGTCAGAGTTGACTAGGGCGGCCATCAGGCTGAGCTCGCCGGCCAGGACTGTAGCGCAAATCAGAGACGCCAGCCGGGCAGAGTTCTCAGCGGGTCGCAGGCCGGCTCCCTTAACACCCAGAATCTCCAGGCAAGCACTCTGCGCAGGCAAAACGGTGCCACCGCCAACGGTTCCCACTTCCAATGACGGCATAGTGCACGTCACGTACAAATCTTCGTTGTTGTCCCCGCAGACCTCCATGCTGGTGGAACAGTTGCTGCTGGTGACGTTCTGCGCCGGGTCTTGGCCGGTGGCGATGAATATTGCGGTGACCATGTTAGCCGCGTGCGCGTTGTTGCCTCCGATAGAGCCGGCGAGAGCGGAACCAGACAGGTTCTTTATTTTATTGCACCGGGCGATGGTCTTTGCGTCGGTTTTGAAGATGTTTCTCAGATTTTCGCAGGAAATAATGGTCTCACAAACGACCCTCTTGCCTCGCCCCTTTACCCAGTTGATAGAAGCGGCCTTTTTGTCGGAGCAATAGTTGCCGGATAGACTGATCACTTCCATATCCGGGAAATAGTTCTTTAACAGTTTGAGAGCGTTTTCAGCGCCTTTTGATACCATGTTCATGCCCATAGCATCACCAGTTGTCGCTCTAAATCTTAAATATAACGTTGCACCATCAACTCCCACGTGCACCTCCTGAAGGCGGGCGAATCTTGAGGTGGAATCGAAGGCTTCTTTTATGATAGCGTAATTTTCCTTATTGTCTAACCACTGGCGACATTCGTGAGCTCGCACTACGTTGGGCAGTTTCACCGCAGGAGCTCTGGTCATTCCGACGTCCTCCACCACGCTCGTGACTCCTCTAGCTCCAATCGCTTTAGCCCCTCGGTTGGTCGAAGCGACCAACGCCCCCTCTGTGGTCGCCATGGGGATCATGTACGCTTTGCCATCAACAACCAACGGCCCTGCGTAGCCCAGCGGAATACCAACGTAACCGATAACATTTTCGCAACACGCATTAAGTACTCTACTATAGTCGTAATTAAGATAGGAAAGTTGCTTGATGGCGGACTCTGTCTGGAACCTGGCGCCTACGATTCTTCTGCGCAGTCTGACTCCTCGTAGAGGATCACAGAGGACAGTTTCCAATCTGTGCATCGGTATGTGCGATTGTTCTACCAGCATGACCACTTCCTCGTCACTTAAAGACGTGCAGACTCCCTCCGAGCGGTAGATCTCTAAGCACTCTGCCATCGATCGCTTCTTAGCATTTAGTTTAGCCGCCGAAGAACTTGGTGAGAGCACGGGCCATTCGACTTCTTCGCCATCAACGAACTCGTCTGTTTGTGTGCAAAAGTCAGACTTGGCTTCTTCACCGATGGAGAAAACGGGCTTATCATTTTGTACAACTTCCTTGACTGTCATGTCGTTCATATCGATTATCCAATTTTTCTGTTCCTCAAAGAAAACAAATTTGATAATGAGAGCGCACAGCAAAGTTGCTATGACTATGTAGTCGGCGCTCACGGAAAACCACTTCACGTAGGAGTGAAACAGGACATTATCTTGGTTGGTGGGCTTCATGTCGTCGCTAAGTGCGCCCTCGAATATTCCGCTGTCCCGAGTCCAGGGCCACCGGCTCGTCAAATGGACGCACAGTAATCCCGCAGCCATTATCATTTTCACTCGTTGTACGACTGGATTCGGTCGTAATTCAGCTTCGGAGAACAGACTGTCGGGTGCTATTTCTTTCCTGCCTGATGCGAAATCTGCCACCAACGACAGACAAGCTGGGTAGAAGGTCACAAACACTAAATAGTCCACTAAGAGCGCAAGACAAGCGAAAGTGCACAAGTGCTCCAGTCTGGGAACACCGGAGAGACCGCCGACACCGACAAGCAACACCGCTAACATCGTATCCAACGTGGCCGTTGGACCAAGCAGAGACAGAGCTTTCCCAACACGTTTACCCTGGTCTTCACCGGCGCACCAGCCGGCTTTCGCCATCCTCGCGCCTCTTGCAACATCCGCGACGAGCAAGAAGAGAAACGGTGCGTCCTTTATGCTCGCCAGCTCGCTCCAGAAGAGGCTGGCGAGCGCGGACGTGAAGATGAAGCTGGCGAAGGTGGAGAAGAGGCCTGCGATGATGAGCAGATACTTGGAGGCAATCTTCTGGAGGTTGGAGACCTGGTAGTATGCGTAGAGGAGGGCGGCGCAGCGGACGAAGGTCATGACGACGGCGTCTGCGGCTTGGTACTCGGCCTCTAGACCAGGGCAGGCGCGAGCCCAGCCGGCACAGCGCTGTACTCGTGCTCCACTGCCATGATCCACGCTGGCCGCGCATGCCAGTAGCGCCAGGGTCGCCACGATCACCTCCCACTGGTGCCGCGCGCAGAACTCGCCGTGGGCGCCCCACACCTTCATCGCTACTGCACACTGACTGCCGCGATCAGCTTATATCTGTCGACAAAATTGTTGTTATAATATAATATCAACTGTTTGTGTGTAAGTTGTGAGCGCTATCAAACTCATAATTAACCGATTTAAAAAGGGAGTCGGTATATATACCACGTTGTCCAGTTTTAATGTTTTTTTGTAAGAGAATGGTAACTTAGGAGTAGTTTAAATTAGTCAAGATTTGATAATATAATTCCTGAGAAAATCATAAAACTCTTTAATTTGTAAGAGCATCTGCACGAAACATTAGCAATTAATGCATTACCCCGTTAACCTATTTCGGTAATTATATTCTTTTTAGTTTTTTGATTTTTTTTAATTTTATTATATATTCAGGTTTCGCAATGATGAGGCGCATTTTGTTGATTGTTTTTTCTTCTTTAGATTATAAAAAAACCCCACATTAGGATTTTCCCCTGTATCGTGGAGGTAATTTACAAACATGAATTGCACGAGGACAAACATCCAGATACAGAACAATTATTTGTAGGCCCTACAAATACCTGTTCCGTGCGGGATTCGAAACCGCGGCCCCCAGCGCAACAACTCATTGCTAAGTCACTGCTCCACGGAGCCGTCAAAAATTTTAGTGACGAATGTTTACTTTGTAACTGTTAATTATTGCTTTCTTAAATTAAGTATTAATTATCTCTATACCTGTCTCTTTTTATTGTCATATATAGAAAACAGAAAGAGCATCATTAAGCAGTTATTAAAATGATGCCGATTTTTATGAGTAATGTAAAAACGGTTAAATAAAAATAAACTGGTATTTTTTCGCAAGTATCGTAAGAAGCATGTGAATTATATAGTTGTTGCAACAAACGATAAAACATTTTACGATCTAAAATTTCATTTTGCTTCAAAAACAGGTAAACATCTACATTTGTTTTTTATAGGATATGGTGACAAACGAGCACACAGTCCACCTGATGGTAAGCGAATCAAAATGCAGATGCGTTGACACCCGTGAGGACTAAGATGGAATGCCTCTTATCCAGTAAAAAGGGTCTCCGGTTCTCTACACTCACCAAACAGCAGCGTTAAGCTGCTATTTGACGCTGGTATTCAAAAGTCAAGGCTACAAGTCAAGAGATTTTAAATTAAAATGTATCTCGATGTAGGCAAGAAATCAGAAAAAAGAATAGTACAATGAGAAAAAATTGAGTTAAAGTTGAGGGTTACAATATGACAAAATTGAGTAGAAGTTACAGATAAGTCAATCTACTGGGCACAGGCCTCCTCTCACTTCTGAGAGGGCTTGGGTTAGCTTGTTGGCGGACTTTACCATGTTTTATAATTTAAAGTAAAAAGTAAAAGCCAACATCGAAATGAAGTCGGGGCTTTTCATCTATACACTAATAACCGACTTCAGGAATTATTTTATTTATTATTTTAAGTTATGTCTATTATTTATTCTGTGGTTATGTTAAGTCTGCTTTCACCTACTTTTTATTAAAAGTCAATTTTCAAGAATCGTCTCAACCTATTCTATTAAAACACGTTTCAGTTCGGATTCGATTAGTGAAGAATGTTTGTGTGAATAGATCCCTAGCTAGAGATATCATAATTCAGGACTTTTGGGTTCTTGTCAGGACTGCGGTCAGATTTTGAAAATGTCAGGCTTTTTCGATTTTTCAATAAAATACAGTAAAGGTATTTGCGTTGGAGGAGTGTAACCTGCGACGTGGATTGATTAAGAGAGTGCACAAAACCGATCATTAATTAGTGTTTTTCTTTACATACGTTTACAAAAAATGTAGGCTTTTCAATTTTCCATCTGGAAACCCGATCCCAAGCCGAATGGGCATTAGCCCTTGGAATCCGCATAACTTTGCATGTTACGTAATCTATGTAAGTGATATTTGTGTAGATAATGTGAACTCTCGTTTCGCACCGGAACTAATTGACGACGTCTTAGCGTTTACTTTGGGCGAAGCTGTGAACAAACACTACGTCACTGACGACCCAAAGTTAAATTAAATATAGAGGTTAGAGGTTCTGCGAGTATCTGACAATAATTGGTGTTGGTATGGGATCAGAAAATCTCTTTCAATAGCAAAGCTAAAAATAACAATATGTATTAATCATACTGTAAAATTTCTTGATAGAAACAACTCATTTTTGAGCCGACCCGGAATTTGAACCCGGAACCTCATCAACTACCACCGATCAGCAGCCCCGTTCACGACCACTAGACGAGACAGGCAAATGATACACGACATATTACGGTGATAATTAACAGTAGGTAAATCCAGTTTGCTACGGAGAGCATTTCTACAGTCTCCATATTGATCACAGATAACTCGGACAGTAACAAGATTATAGCACAAAGCAAACGTCGAGTTACAACTAGTTTACCTTAAAAGATGGGACGAATGAGAGAAAGTAGAAAATGAAGATGTTAAAAATTATAATAAAATAGAAGTTGTTGAGTTGTCATATAATTATTAGTTATTATATAGTTGTGGCACGAATGGGTCGGCTCGACCGGGGAAGGACCACGCTCTCACAGAATACCAGCGTAAAATAGCAGCTTAACAATGCTGTGTTTCGTATGGTGAGTGTAGAGAACTATAGAATAGAATAGAATAAAATATTTTTTTATTCAATATAGATCACATGTGTAATTCTTATTGAAAGTCATTTTTTACTTTACCACTGGTTCGAAAAAAAACCTCTGTCCTGGGAAGAACCAGCAAGAAACCCAGCGGGACTTTTTTTAAAGCAAATTTTACATTAATGGTTATTTATGGTACAAACTATATAAGTACAAAATTTATTTTAGAAACAGCTTGGAAGCGATCACCTCATTCCCAAGGGTTATTATCAACCATGTATTCATTTATACTATAATAACCTTTTTTATACAGTTTCAGCTTAACAAAACATTTAAACTTGCTAATAGAGAGAGCCTGTACACTTTCCGGGACCTTGTTGTAATAGCGTATACATTGCCCCAAGAATGAATAACGAACTCTGTGGAGTCGAGAAACTGGTATCACTAGCTTGTATTTGTTCCTAGTGTTTACAGAATGTATATCACTTTTTTTACTAAAACTACATTTGTTTTTGTGAACATACATTAAATTTTGGTAAATATACGGAGACCAAAGTTAATATATTTATTTCTTTAAATTTATCTCTAAGAGACTCTGTCGGTTTTAGGTTGTAAATAGCTCCCTAACTCTAACTGGAGACCCTTTTTACTGGGAACTAGGAATTCTATGGGTCACAGCAACCACTTATCATCAGGAGGACTGTGTGCTCGTTTGTCACCATATCCTATAAGTAAAAGTCGCCCAGCAAGCTTTCATGACACGTCAAAGCAAGAGATAAAAATCAATCAATAACAATTATTTTTAGAAAATAAGTGTGACATGCGAGCACACATCCACCCGGCGGTAAATGGATGTTGTGGGCCATAAATATTATCTACATCTATCTTTGAATAAGAATCAAAGATACGTGCGTTACTAAGAGAGTGCCACGTTTCCAGTAAAAGGGGTTTCCGGTTCTCTGCAATTATTTTACGCTGTATTCTGTCGAGAGTGGGCCTTCCCCGGCCGAGACGACCCTTTCGTGCTACAACTATAATATAGCTGCAGCGCAAAAGAATACCTCAAACCGGCTTAGAAGGCGGCTTTATTATACGCCAGTGTTCAATTGACCTTCTTACAATATTTTGTTATTCATTGAACATTTTTGTAGAACCCGAGTCGGTCTCCGTACCACCAAATAGTGCTATAAACACAGCAGTGAACGCACTGGGCGTTCACTGCTGTGTTTATAGCACTAATATTGCCCTTTGTCGGGATTTAAACCTATTAGCAACTAAACGAGCAAGTTTGACCGCTTAGCACTGCCACAGTCAATGTTAAAATATTGGTCAATTTATAATATTAAAATACGGTCAAAGTCAGCCCGTAATATAATGAGCGTGTAGAACTGGTTTCCCCGCGCTTACGACTATTTTATTTCGAATTAAATAAATAACAGAGCACAGTCAGCTCGCGCTTTCTAATTTTTGTGATTTTAAAGTTTTACTTGTAAATTAACTCATACATGCCAAACTTCGATCTCGTTTTCAAAATACTAAGACTTGTAATTTATAATATTTATACAGGTTATCTATAATTTTACAACTTTTTAATAATTTTCACGTGGTAGAGCCACGCTGCAGCTCTATCATGGTTGTAGCACGAATGGGTCGGCTCAACCGCGGAAGGACCACGCCCTCACAGAATACCAGCGTAGAATAGCAGCTTGATATTGATGTGTTTCGTATGCTGAGTGTAGAGAACCAGATAAAGTTTTACTCGACTCGAAAGACTCCATCTTAATCCTCTAGGGTGATAAAGCATCTTCATTTTGATTCTCAATCGAGGATAAACATTGATGCCTATGGCTCACAGCATACACTTACCATCAGGTGGACTGTGTGTTCGTTTGTCAATCTTATTCTATTGAAAAAATAACAAACGACTTGACAGTCCACTTGATAGTGGTAACTTTACTGTCCCTATTGTTAAACCGGAACACACCAGTGACAGTCTGCTGCTTGGTAGTAGAAAATGGTAAGATGGTGGTGGTGGTACCTACACATACGTGAAGGATCCTAGTTCATGACGTCTGTAAATATACTACTCAAAGCAAACATACTTTTAGGCGGGAAACACCACGTAAATATAACCAATTGAAGAAAGCAGCGGTAATAACAGGCTACCCGGGCTGCGGGTCATTTGGAGCATGCCGTGGGTCACAAGAGATGGAAAGTGTGACATAAAGCGAAAGCGAATTCCTTCACAGCACGCCCGACCGGACCACGCGGTCCGCATGCTCAATAGCCTAAAGCCACGTTCACACCGCGGCTACGATCAAGTTCGGACGTCGTGTCCTCAAAATACAACAGTAAAGATGACATAATTTAAATAATAACTGCGTCAAATCTGATACAGTTATCTGAC